ACATCACTTGCATAGCTCAAGAGGCAGCCCTGCTGCCTCAGCTCACCCTCCCCACTGCTCTGGGAGAGGGAGATCTCGTCCGTCAAAACTGAGGCCCTTGGGCCTGTGTCCTCTAGGTCTGTGCTGGGGTATTCCGTCCTGATGATGTCTATATCACCTTTGGGGTCTGTCTTCCCTTTCTCAAAGGGAAGCACGTGCTCACAGCCAGATAGTTCCATTCTCCCATTTATAAGATCCAGGAATTTGGGCTACCCTCCTTCATTCCATCAGCCTTCTTTGTCCCCTTGTTTCAGATGGCCGGTGTCTCGGCTGGGATAACCCTGCCTCTGTTCCTAGCCTCTGCTGGGATGGTTGATTAAATGCTTGAGCTGCACCCACGGCCTCTCTTTCAAATGGTGGCCCAGCAGCACCCCAGTGTTCACCTCCAAACAAGCTTTCCCATTTTTGAAATGTGGAGAGATTGAGAGTTTTCCAAAGCTCCAAAGTTCTGATTCCTTTTTGATTAATAATTCCATCAATAAGTACACAAACCCCTTGGTCATCTGTGCACATTTTGGGGCATGGGGATAGGCTCAGAAATCTCAGTAAAGATTTGGGGGTCTCCTACCCCCAACTGTTTAAGAGCCTCTGGTTTAGAAGGCATGAGGCACCCAAAACCTTGATCACATTCTGCACGGCTGTCCTGTGTGTGCCCTCCCAGCAGCGAGCTTTCTACAGGCTGAACTGTAAAGCACCAGCGTGTGTCCAGGCCGGCTGACAACCCAGGCTGGTGGCTGGTGGTTGGCTCCTGGCCCGTGTGACTCAGAGTCTGGATATTCTGTCCACCATATGCTGCCGTGCCTCCAGAATCAATGGGCTCACAATCCAGGCGTAAATGCTGAGTCTGGAGCCCACTGTGCCCCGAGAAGTTGTGCCCTGTCGCTTCACCCAGGAAACACCTCCCTGCCTGACTGCACTTGTCACACAGTGTTGTGACAGCTGGTGCTGTGGGTCTTGTGATCCCAGAGCAAACATGGGAGCCTGACTTATGTCATGGAGGTGGACAAGGATGTGGGCTCAGGCGATGGGTCCGTCTGTCAGGCACCAACTTTCCTGAGCTTCTGCCTTCAATCTCCTGACACCTGGGCCCTGCTCCCAGGAGCCCACTTTCTGCTGTAGTTGCCTCACCGGTGGGGAGCAGGGGGCTCCGCCTGCAGATCTACACCCTCAGGGCAGGTGGCCGCAGCCTGGCTGGCCGCACACAGGGGAAATTGCACACAGAAGTCAGGGTTGTGGCATGCTGGGCATGGGATCCCAGAAAGACAGGTGCGTGGTGGAGGCCTAAGGCACTGATGTCTAGACTCAGGACAGGCAAATCTTTCCAGAAGGGACTTCGCAGGGTCCCTTTTGGGTCCTGACCCCCACCGAGGTGCTGAAAGGTGTTCCTTGCCGGCCTCAGGCTCTGTGCATAGGGGATGCGTGGCTCTACCTCACCACCCCTGAGACTAGCTGGTCATCATCCCACATTGAGGGGCCTCTTCTCAGACAGGGGGCAGAGAGGTGACCCACACCTGACATAGGGACTCTTCCTTCGGATTCACCCCTGCAGTTGACCTGCATTCCTGTCTCCCATCCGGCGGCCCCCACATTCTCCCCCCAGAGACTGGAAGGGGTTTCCACACCTGGGTAGAACATGACATCTCGTCAAACTCACCAGCCCGTGGGTGCTGACCCTGGTGGGCCTACAAGGGAGCAAAACCAAGGACTTTAAAGAGACTGGGTTAGTGTTCAGGACCACAGACAAGATGTGCCCCTACTGTTCTGTAATCCACAAAAAGGATTTCAATGTCTCCAGAATTGAAAGTTGCAAAGAACATCAAGAAATAATAGTTCAAGTGGCCGACATAGTCATAAAATCAGGGAAGTAACCGCTGTCCACAGGGTGTACAGAGGAGATGGCTCATACCAGGGGCAGCATCGCTGTGGCTTGACTGAGAGAGAGGCAGATGCTGGGCAAAGTTTTGTACATAATATTGAGCAAGGAAAATGTGGCCAGTGATGCCAGCAAAAGGCCATCACAGTGAAGGCAGTAACTACCTGTCTTCACTATCCCCAACCAGAAGTCAAAGCATTGATTGAAAAAACAGACCTGACAGTCAGTGAGACTCTGGGTCTCCCTGGGCTGAGTTCCTCCTACAAAATGTCATATTTCTCAAAGCACAGGGCAAGGAGTCACCATTTTCCAAGTCACAGACTGCATACCCTAACAACAACTTTTCCCAATGTGCTGTTCAAGTGGCTTTGTTTGAAGGGGGTTGTTAAGCGGTGGGCCAAGATCGATGTGTTCCAGGGAGGACTGGGGCCCTCTGGCCTGCAGGTGACACTCCTGTCAGGAAGTGATAGAGAAAATCTGTCATAAGATGGCTGACAGGATGAATAGGAAACACCTGTCCTTGATTAATGAGGAATGCAGAAGTAACTGGCTATAAATTGTTCCCTCTGCTAATGCTCTGGGCTCAGACCTCTGGAGAATGATCTCCTCTGAACCCACCGGTGTAACAATCCCTTCCAAGATCTCCAAGTGCTGCTGGGTTCTTCTGCTGGGTGATCCAGACCAGATTCTTCAACAGGAGGGGCAATCCTACAGTAACTCAGTGGGAAGCTGGGTAGTGTCCCCGGCACTGACATCGTTCCTCAGAAGGCAGGGACACAAAGGGACACAGGCAGGGGACAGCTTCACTGAGAGCACAGAGCTGACTCCTGCTGTTCCTTCGCCTCCACTGCCCAAGTGGCCACTGAAGGTGCCAGCTTCCTGATTTCATAGAAACTCCTGGCAGCACACAGCGTCCAAGGCCATCTCCAGCACAGACTTTCCACAACTGGAGAAGCAGAGGATGGTCCACAGAAGTCACTAAAAGTCTTGTTTTAGGGCAAACCTGCTTAAATCTTGCGAGATGTGCTTCTAGTTAATTGGGGTTAGGATGTCCTTTCTGTTAAGAAATGACGATGATGTTTGAAAAATAGAAGATTGGCAATCTCATGAGAAGCTGTGCCTTTATCTGGATGGGGGAGTCGGGGGTCCTGATGAACATGTTGACTATCGACGTGGCAAGAACGCAGGGTTAACCTGTCCAAGATGCCTCCCTGTGGACCAGTCTTCTGTGAAGTTGCATGGACTCTGTCCATAGCCAGGCCTGTGGCATCAAAGCTGGTAAATGCTGCCCGGTGGCTCAGCCTCAGCATCACAGCTGCAACCACAAGTTCAGAATCAGACACTGACCAGCAAGGAAGAGGCTGCTGCCCTCTCCCCCTGAGCTTGGGCTAGATGGGCAGGGCTGGTGCTGCCCCTTCCCCTGAGCGCTCACCTGATGGGAGGGGCTAGGCCTGGGTGCTGGGGATCATCACCTTCCTAGTTCTAGTCCCTACCCACACAGGCCCCTCTCCTGGATCCTGGATCTCCTAGGATCCCTGTGTGCTGGCCCAGAGATCAAGTGCAATGGGGACCCACAAATACCCACTGTTCCCCTAATAAACAGGTCTCCAGGAGCCTGGGGTTTATGTTTGCAGGTCATTCCCTTATGATTACTCTAACAAGTACAAAAGACTGAGAACTGCTATGTAAAATTAATGTTTGAAAAGTTCACTCCAATGATATTTGAAGAATCCATATAAAGTAGCTAAAATAAACCTAATTGCCTTTTACTCTACTAAGTTCAAACTCTAAGCTTTAAATAACATAAAAATGACAATGAGAATGAGCACTGGGTATTATGTGGAAACTAATTTGACAATAAACTATTTGTAAAAAAAAAAACTAATTTGAAAAAAAAATGACAATGAAGAAGAAAGTCTCCAAATACTCAAAAATTAGGATGTGCACTTCTAGATTTTTTTTTTTAATGTTTTTTATTTGTTTCTAGGAGAGAGAGAGAGAGAGACAGCGTGAGCAGGGGAGGGTCAGAGAGAGAGGGAGATACAGACTCTGCAACAGGCTCCAGGCCCTGAGCTGGCAGTCAGCACAGAGCCCGACGCGGGGCTCGAACCCACGAACCGTGAGATCATGACCTAAGCGAAAGTCGGACGCTTAACCGACTAAGCCACCCAGGCGCCCCATGGATGTGCACTTCTAAATAATTCATGGTTAAAACAAAGATCTCAAGAAAGTTTTTAATACGCAGAACTAAATGAAAATGAAAATACAACGTGTAAAATGTGGTAGAATTCGGGGATGCCTGGGTGGCTCAGTAGGTTAAGTGTCTGACTCTTGATTATGGCCCAGGTCATGATCTCACAGTTTCTGAGATCAAGCCCCAGTCCAACTCAGTCACCCTGCATTCTGGGAACTTCCACCCACTTCTATGGGGAGTCGGTCCTCCCTCCTCCAACCCCCTAGAGTGATGTTTCTCTACTTTGGGGGAAATTCTTGTTCCCTTGCAGTGTAGACATCTAGTGAAATGTCTTGCTTACAATTTGGGCTAAATTGTGTTCCCTGAAAATTTATATATTGGAGACCTAACTCCCAGTGCCTCAGAATGTGCCTGCATTTGGAGATGAGGTCTTTACAGAGGTGATTAACTTGAGGTCACTAGGTTGGCCCTAATCTCATATGACCAGTGTCCCTGTAAAGAAGAGATCAGGACACAGACACACATAGAGTGATGACCCCGTGAGGACACAGGAGGAAGACAACATCTGCACGGTAGGAGAGAGGCCTCAGGGGAAGCCAGCTCTGCCCATGCCTGGATCTCGGACTTGCAGCCTCCAGGACTATTCCTGCTGTTGAAGATGCCTGGGCTCTGGTGTTTGTTATGCAGCCTGTGCTAACTGACACACTTCCTCTGAAGACCTGCACGATCCCTGAGGTAGGAGCAGGGTCTGAGTAGAGACGGTCTTCTCTCCTCCCAGCTGGCAGCCCTGGCTCCCTCCTGGGACAGTCTTCCTGACAAGTTCCCTTTCCTTGTGCAGGGAGCCTGCTGCCTGACCTCAAGGGAAGGAGGGGCAACGGAGTCCCAAGACATGAGTGAGATGAGTCTTTTATTTGGGTTTTTTTTTCAGGCTTGGCTTAGGGGATGGCAGCTGATGAACAGGAAGTCCAGGAGAAGGAACCACTGAGAGCCAGTGGTGCTGGGGAAGGGGAGGCGTGGAAAGTTCCAGCGAGCTGACTGGGGCCTGAGGCAGAGAGCAGGACAGAGGGGCTCAGCGGGTCACCACAGGGCCTGCTGCGGGTCCCTGAGCACGAACAGCAGCAGGAGGCAGGTCTGAGGAGAAGCGAGCGCTGTGTCATGCTTGGACGAGCCAGCAGCCTGCCAAGGCTGATCTGGAAACTGGGTCTGAGGAGCAGACGTGGGATCAGGGGGAGGCGTGAGCCTCTGGATCTTGTTGATCCAGCCGGTGAAGTAGTCGACCCTGGTGAAGACGCTGGGGTAGATAGGGTGCTGGCAGTCCAAGCCCCAGCTGGCCAGCCCCACCAAAACCCAGGCACTGAGGTCGCAGACGAGGGGCCCCCCAGAATCGCCCTAGGAAAGAGAGGGGAGTTAGTGCGGGTGACTGAGCAGGGTCTGAGAACACCAGGTGGTGGGGGGACCCGTGAGCCTGTGAAAGTCCAGACCAGCATTGTACTATGGACCCATCAAGGAGACATGGGTGGGCCTTGGAAATGCACTTCAGGGCACTCCCAACAGACCCTGTGGACAGTCACGGATCTAAGTCCATCAGCACATGGGCCCCGCCCTCTGCCCTGTCATGCAGGAGGGCCGGCAGCCCAGAGGAACAAGCAGAGCCCAGACCCGAGGAGGCAGCCCCGGCGGGGCAATGAAGGCCGACACTTGTTACCACAGCAGGCACCACGCAGTTATCTCAGGAACCTTATGAAGGGGAGGCTGTCAGCACCCCCACCTCACAAGTGAGGAAATTGGCTGTGATCAGGGCGCCGATTGGTGATAGACAGAGGCCAGAGCAGGTCCACCTGCCCCACAATCTGAGCACTGAGCCATTCTGCAGTGCCCTCACCCCCCTGCACCCCATCTGTTCCAGCAACTGTTCTGCAGTGCCCTCACCCCCTGCACCCCATCTGTTCCAGCGCCCGTTCTGCAGTGCCCTCACCCCCTGCACCCCAGCTGTTCCAGCGCCCGTTCTGCAGTGCCCTCACCCCCTGCACCCCAGCTGTTCCAGCGCCCGTTCTGCAGTGCCCTCACCCCCTGCACCCCAGCTGTTCCAGCGCCCGTTCTGCAGTGCCCTCACCCCCTGCACCCCAGCTGTTCCAGCGCCCGTTCTGCAGTGCCCCCCCTCCCCTCCTGCGTGGGTCCAGATGGAATCTCACAGACAGGCTATGGTGGCTGGAAGGCTAAGGGGGGAGGGGGTGCTCCCGGGTGTCCAGCTCAGTGGTGTCCTCAGCCTGGGTGTCTCCAGAGGGGGAGTGGGGTAGAGGGCACCATGGACGTCTAGCAGGCAGGCTGACAAGGCCCACGGGTCTCCACAAACAGACCAGAAGCAACACAGGCCCACCAGGGAAACTGAGGCAAACAGGCACGCAAGGAAGGGAAACTCACTTGGCAGATGGCCTTTCCTGTGGAGAAATTGCCAGCACACAGCATCTCCTCTTGCACAAAGTAGGTCTTGCTGTGGCTAAATTTTCGTCTATATAACATGTTACAGACCTGGTTCTCGATGAGGTTCACGTTACCCTCCTGGAGACGGAAGGGCGAGTGCAGATGTTCTGTGTGGATAGGAAGGGGGCCGGTGAGGTGCACTGTGGGGAAGCCCAGGCCACTGCGAAACGCGAGGCCTGCTCCGCACAGATGAGCCTGGATCACGGCTGCAGTCTTCCATCTATCCCTAACAGGCTCCTCTCCCGCTTCCCAACGGTCCACACACTCTTCCATTCCCTCCACCTCACTCATTCCACAAGGAAAGAAGGCAAATCCCACCAGCACACACCGTTCTCAGGGCCTTGGTAACCACTGACCACCCACCTACACTTCCACACACCATGTCTGCTCGTCTGTCATTGCCCTTCCTTTGGTTCTTCCATCCACTGACCCCCCCATCCCCCACCCACCCCACTTCTCATGCCCGTCTCCATCCCTCCGTCACCACCCACCAGCCACCAGCCACTCCCCTCCCGGCCACGCTGCCCCACGCAGCCTCCAGCCCTCACCACTCATCTGTCCTCAGGCTGGGCATCTTGTAGACGCCACTGGCACAGGGGGCATAGTCAAGGACACAGAGCGAGTGAGGAACATGGATGGGATTGTGGGGACACAGGGTCAGTGAGGACGGCCTTGGCACGCTTGGGCAGGAAGGACACTGGTGGCTGGCACGGGCCGTGCGGGGATGTGGGGAAGGCAGGGGGCCAAGGTCAGGAGCGTCTGACTGCCTGGGCAGGGACCCTGGACTTGTTCTAACAGTCCAAACAGCTGTGAGCGCATGCAGGGGGCTGAGCAGGGAAGCAGCGCAACTCCATGGTTTAAATTGAGCAGACAGCGGGACACACGGGCGGGAGCTGGGAAACCAGACTGGAGACACAGGAGAGACATGACGATCTATCAGGCCAGGGAGGCAGCAGCAGAGCGTGCACCAGGTGCTGGGGCGGGGGGGGGGTGCTAAAACCATGAGACGTGATCCCCGTCCTCAAGGAAGAACCAGCCTCTCTGCCTGCGTGTGCATGAGCGCGTGCGTGAGAGAGAAACACACAGAGAGAGAGACAGAGAGAGTGCTGGAGGCCACGTTGCCCTGTGATTGGGACAGTCCCTCAGACTTAAGGAATAACACGCTTTTCAGAACTAGAACTAAAACGGTCCAGTCCTCTAGAAATGAGGCACAGAGGCCCAAGGTCCTGTGGCCGCTTGCCCGGGGGTGGGGGTGGGGGCCAGGGCTGAGCCTTGCCTCCCGTCTTCCCTCCCTCCCTCCCCCACCGCCTCTCCCACACGCCCTCACGGTCCTCGGTGAGCATCCCCCAGCCTGTTATCCAGCAGGACAGGTTGCCGGACAGCTGCATGCCGGGACTCGGGAGGCAGGCGGGGGCGATGTAGGAGGTAAAGTTCACAGGCGCGTGCAGCTGCAGCATGGTTATGTCACTCCCGAAGGGGTGAAGCTTCTCAAAGTCTGGGTGCGTGATGATGCGGCTCAGGGACACCTCCCGGGCGTGCTGGCCGTGCTGGTGCAGCTGTGTACTTCCCAGCAGGACCCGGTAGTCTGCCGGGGCTTGGGATTTGCTGGCGGAGAACAGCCCATCGTCACTGCCTCCAAGCACGGCCGGCTCCCTCTCCCTGCCCCTCATCTACAGCCCCTGCCTGCATGAGGCCCCTCTTCCCAACCATCTTGGTGCTGATTGATCTCCTTTCCCCGGCCTGAGACATGTGGCTTCCCCATCACACCTTGAATTGGAGGAGCGGGGATTCCTTGTGCTCAGGGCTCCTTGGTGGGGACTCACACTGAGGCCTTCCACTTTACACAGAGGAGCTCTGGTTCAAGACTAGCTCTGGCCTGACCCTTCCCATGGCTCCTCACGGCCCAACTGTGGCCCTGCATCCTTCCTGCACTTTCTTCCTATAAACACCTTCCTGCCTGAGGGCTGTGTGCACACCTGTTCGTAAATATCCACAAAAGATGTGTTAAGTGAGCAGATGAGTGCAGGAAATGGAGCCTTGTCCCCAGAACAGGAGTGATGAAGCATCCACCCTGCTGACTGTCGGTGGCTGCTGCCTGGAAAGCCCTCCCCCACTTGGTGCCCAAACCCTTCCCTTCCGGCTCCGCCCAGGCCAGCTGAGGCATCTCTCCTGACCTCCCTCCCTGTCCACAGGGCCCTCCCGTCTCACCCACGCTAGGCTTTCTCTCCTGCCAACACAGAGACACCCCCCCCCCAACCGCCATGGCACAGAGGGTCTCAGATGTGGCACAGCGTAGGTGCTGACAGGGCTCTGGGCCCTTAAAGCCGGTCCGTGCCCAAGCTCTAGCTCCCTGACCTGCTATGATGCCCCTGCACTCTTGAAACCTCTTGTCATCTATTCCGAAGCTGGGTACCGACCCAGGCCCAAGCAGCCACGTCACCCTCCAAGGTGAAGGAGCCTGCCTCCCACCCAGGCAGCCCGGCAGTGCCGCCAGCCCCGCCTCCTCCTAGGCACGCAGTTCTGCACCAGTGATAAGAAAAATCACCCAGCTGCCGGCTGTGTGTGTAGCTCAGGTCCCTGCCTACAGTCCGACACCGAGGAGTGTGGGTTCACTGGGGACAAGCCCGATCCGAGGAGGCAGAGAGCCTGTCCACACTGCATGGCAGCCAGGACACACACTGCGGGTCTCCTGGGGCATGTTTGTGCTGGGGGACAGGCACAGGGGCTGAGGACAGAGGGGTGAGTGGGGGGCACACGCAGGTGGAGGGGATGCCGGTCAAAGGCAGGAATGGAGTGTGTTTGGAGGCTAAACACTGCTTTAGAGCGAAGCCCAGAGGAGCTTGCATTGGACACCTACCCACCACCCCTCTTCTCCTCTTCCCCTGGCATCCCGCCACCCTGTTGGCCTCTCTGCTGGCACCCGGTGGGGGGACTCACTTGAGAAAGCAGTGGGCAGTAGAAACCAGCCAGAGGGAGTCAATGAGGACAGCTCCACAGATGTGTGTGTGGTGGTACATCAGGCTGGCCTGCCAAGGCCACCGGCCAGCCAGCACGTCCCGGCCACCATAGATCTTCCCCATCATCTTGGGCCTCCCACAGGCTGTGGAGACAACCCCCTGCCCTGTCTATGATAGAGACACCAGTGACCCCAACTGACACTACCACAGAGGACTTCCTCCACTTCACAGATGCAAAAACCAAGGCCAAGGCTCAAGCGGCCCAGCCGAAATGTGACCCTGCCTTCATAGGCTGCCATCAAGGACTGGACAGCAGAGCACAGGCCAGCAGGCCCCGTGGTCAGGACGAGGGCCCAGGGGTCTGGTGAGGGTGGGCAAGGAGGGCCAAGAGTGGCCACAGCAGCGTCCCCAGGGACACAGACATTCCTGAATACACCTGCCGGGGCTGGGCAGGAGTTCCCTTCAACCGTCAGCCTCGTCCCACTCTGCAGATCAAAGGACCGAGGGTCTCAGGGCTTCCCAACCCCACCTGCTGGCTGTTATGCTTGGGGGTGGGGGGCTCCTGTGCGCCCTCCACCCCACCCCGCCTCTCAGGGAGGGAGGTTCATGAGCAGGAAGGAGTCTGTGGTGCTGGGTGGCCCTGGGAAGTCCACTCCCCCGACTCAGGATGCTCAGTTGCTTAAAGAGGAGCCGGCTAGTGAAGATCGCCCTGGTTCTGGGGTGCACACCGGGTGGGGGCAGGGGTGTGCCCAGGGGGGCCCCTCACTCAGGAATCCTCCCCCGCCCAGCCCCCACCCCAGGGCCAAGCCCTGCCACCTGCCGGTTCCAGGCAGGTTCACAGTGGGGCCTGTGACCCACCTGTGTTGGGGAGTGTGGGGGTGTCCCGGGGCGGACGTTGGGGGCAGAGAGAAGAGGAGGCCGCATCCGCGTCCCAGCCCCTCCCGGAGCCCCTCCGCCCACACGCCTCAGCCCAACGCACCTGCTCCCGGCGCCAACCGCTGAGTGCCACCTGCCGGCCGCCGGGGCTTCTCAGTTGCTGCCTCGATTGAAGCTGGGGCGGGGGCGCGGGAAGCCGCGGACCAGGACCCTCGCATGCCCGGGGGCGGCAGCAGCAGCAGCAGCCAGAGCAGGGCCGCCAGACAGCCTCGCCCACGGGGGGTCGGCCCCTCCTTGCCCATGACCAGGACCGCTGACCCCAGCCTGACCTGACCTGACCCCTCACCTGACCCCCCCCACCCTGATCCCGGGCCAGCCAATCCCTGACCCCTCCTGATCCCGGGCCCTACCCCTGTCCCCACCCCCATCCCCTCACACCCCACCACCACCTCCTTCCTAATCCTGGGCCCCGATCCTGCCCAGACCCTACCCCAACCGAGCCGGACCCAGGCCTGGACCGCTCCCCACCTCTGGTCCTGACTCCACCCCTCCTGGCTGCCCGCCCAGCTGATACCAGCAGGGCGGGACCTCTGTGCAATCAAGGGCTCCTATGAATTCAAGAGAAAAGACAGTAGACACCACATAAAAAATGGCAACTGTATGAGAAGGTAGTTCATGGGAGAAGGAATTTGAAGTGTCTGTAAAGAAAGCATGCTTAATCCACTGGTTAACTAGAAAATGGAATTGGAACATTACAGTGTGTCATTTCCAACCTTCGAATTGCAAACATTTTCTGGGATGGATAGAGATCCCTAAACCTTGGCTAATCAGTGATTTCTCCACAGTGTGAGGGAAGCATCCAAATTTCAGACATGTTCCCTATTGTCTACTCCCGGATGGAATGTCCTGGATTTGTTGGTATTGGGAGTAAGATCCAATTGATTCACACTTACTTCCTGTGAGCACAGGGAAATTACTTTATTCACCACTGAGTCTAGAGGCAAGAGAGGAGGGGATTAAAGCTGCACACAGTAGACTTGAAATATCAGTTTAATAGCTACTATTGTTCTTCAATGAAAACAGAAGTCAAGGGGCACCCAGCTTTACTTACTGGTTAAGAACTTATACTTGAATAAATTTTAAAAAGCCAAATTTTGGGTTCTTACCCAAACTGTACTATAGTTTATCTAAACTATACTAGTGTTAGGAAGAATCTGTATTTCATATAGAGACTGGAAGAATAATTCATGAATTTTGTAAAAGGGAATATATAGGATTGACAGAGGTGAGGTGAAGATGATGAAGACCGTATGAAATGAGTTAAGATCTGAGTGTCTGTGGAATATATAGTTGGATTCATCCAATAGGCATTTGGAAATACCAATTTCAGATTTGGAGAAATGTCTTGGGGTTGGAGATAGAGAGTACTATGAGGTTCGAGGTGACAGTTGAGGCCATGGGAGAGGGTAAAATCATTGAAAGAAACACGTAGAACAAAATTAGTGACCAAAACATAGAAAAGAGCCAAATAAGAAAAAGGAGCCAGTATGGGACTGAGGATTGCAGAGGATGAATTTAAACCATGGAAACACTAAAGTATGCAACTATAAGATTTCTTACCCACTTTTTAAACAGCTTTATGGGGACAGGGTTTATATACCTTGAAGTTCACTCATTACAAGGGACAAATGAATGATTTTCAGTCAACTTTGAGAATTGTGAAGCAATCACCAGATTCGCAGCTAATGTGCTCTCATCGCCAGCTCTAGACAGCCACTGATGGGCTTTCTGTCCCTCTAAGTATGTTTTCCGGACATATCATATAAATGGAATCATAATATGTAGTCTTTCAAGTCTGGCTTTTTCACTTAGTGTGACAGTACCTCCCACCGGCATTTGCGGGGAGCTGGCCTCGAGCCCACAGGCTCCTGCTGGCTGACCTGAGTCCTTGCTCTGCAGCAGGACTAACCTACTCGCCTTGGGTTTGCAGACCGCTGGCCTTGAGGGTGAAGGATGGTAAGGCCTGACCACACTCGAGAACACCCTCCATGGATGCCAGCAGGTCCGTCCGGGGTCATGTCGACACAGAACCCACCGCCCGGGCACCGCTTCTCCTGCACGCAGCCCCCCCCCCCCCATCCCTCACACCTTCCCCTGGGAAACCTTCCCACCTCACCTGGACCAGATGGCCTTGGAGACATCGGCCCGCCCTCTTCCCAGGCTGCCAGCTTCCCGAGTAAAGCGACCTCTCTTTTCCCACCATCACTGTCTCTCAGTGTTGACTTTCCAGCGGAGAGCAGCCTCCTGAGGTTGGAACTGGTTCTGTCTGGTAACATTAGTACCTTGTTTTTGGAGTTCCTCCATGCTGTGGCACATGTCGGTATTCTGTTCCTTTTCCTTCCGAGGTATGGTTGTACCACATTTTGATTATATATTTACTAGTTGATGGGCGCTTGGATTGTATGCAGTTTGGGGCAGTTACAAATAACACTGCTATGAATTCATGTGCTGGTCTTCAGGTGGACATCTGTTTTCATTTTTGGGGGGTGGATTCCTAGGACAGGAATGAAAGTGCTGGGTCATACCTAGGTTTAGCTTTAAGATTTTCTAGACTGACAAACTCTTTTCCAAAGAATCTGTACCATTTTATATACTTACCAAAGTGGAGGAAATTTCCACTTTATTCTATATGTTTCTAACACTTGTCTTTTTTTATTATAGTCATGCTAATGGTGTGAAGTGCTGACTTACTGTGGCTTCAATCCTCTTTTCCCGAACGACTAATGATGTCTAATGTGTTTTTATGTGCTCCATTGCCACTCTTGCATTTTCTTTAGTAAAAGTGTCCATTCAAATCTTTTGCCTATTTCAAAAACTGTTTGTCTTTTTACCAAGTTGTATCTATGTTCTTTACCAGATATGTAATGTGTAAATATTTTCTCCAAGTCTCCAGCTTGTCTTTCACTCTTAAACAGTGGCTTTTGAAGAGCAAAATATTTTAATTTTGATAACTTCTAAGAAGTTTTTTTTTTTTTTGTAGGGGTCATGCTTTCAGTGTCATACTGAAGAGATCATGAAGGTTTTCTACTGTTTTCCTTGAGAAACTTTAAGGGTTTGTTCTTTTTAAAAAAATTTTTTATAGTTTATTTATTTTTGAGACAGAGAGACAGAGCATGAGTGGGAGAGGAGCAGAGAGAGAGGGAGATACAGAATCTGAAACAGGCTCCAGGCTCTGAGCTAGCTGTCAGCACAGAACCTGACGTGGGGCTCAAACCCACAAGCTGTTAGATCATGACCTGAGCCGAAGTCGGGCACTAAACTGACTGAGCCACCAGAGTACCCCTAAGGGTTGGTTCTTACATTTGGATCAATTTTTAATTCACTGTTGTTTAGTGTGATGTACATTTTTTCTGTTTGTTTGATTTTTGGATTTTTGTGTTACTATCCATCTGTCCCAGCACCATTTCTTGGTTAAAAAAAGAAAAAAAATTATCTTTCCCCCACTGTCTTGAAGGCTTTGTGGAAAATCAATTCATAGTAAAAAAAAAAAAATAATAAGATTTTATTTCTGGGCTTTCAATGCTGTACCATTGTCTAGATGTGTACTCCCATGCCAGAATTCCACTGTCTAGATTAACATGCATTATAGCAAATTTTGAACCAAGTAGTGTAAGTTTTCCAGCTTTATTATTTTTCCAAACTATTTAGGCTATTTTAGGCCCTTAGCATTTCCATATAAATTATAGGATCAGCTAGTCAATTTTTACCCCCCAGTAAGTCTGTTGGGATTTCTACAGGGAATTAAATTTATAGGTGAATTTCTTGATGATATGAAATCTCCATCAACTGTTTAAAAATATTTTCAAAATGTCAATTAATACCTGACATTATATTACACATATATTTTTGTCTCTCCCTCCTTACCAAGGAAGGTCCATTGGCAATATGTGCTTTTTGTTTTTGTCACTTTGTATTTATTTTAAGCATTGTATCTTCAACACCTAGAAAAATGTTTGGCATACAGTAGGGCTTGCTTAATATTTTTGACAGTCTAAACAAAAAGATAAAACTTTTTTTAAAAAATGAGGAGTCAGAAAGCATCATAAGGTAATTTGATTGACAAAGGGGGTTACCAATATGTGTTAAAAAGTTTGAAATGTGTAGATAGATTTAAATAAACTAGAGTCACTTAGGAATGTGAAGAAGTCTTCTAAAGAATTCTACAACGTCTCCATACAATGAGTACTACTCAGCAATGAAAAGGAAGGAGTTACAGAAAATTAAAACAGCATGGATGAATTTCAAATGCATTGTGTTTAATGGAAGAAGCCAAACTCAAAGGTCACATGTTGTAGATTGCATTTATATACTTGGAAAAGAAGAAGCTACAGGGAGAACAACATTATCAGTTGTTACCAGGGGCTGAGGGTGAGAAAGGGAAAGACTGTGAAGGCGGGGAAGTTAATATGGCAGAGGAGTAGGAAGACCCTAAGCTTGTCTCATCCCTCAAACACAGCTATGTAGTTATCAGATCATTCAGAACATCCCAGAAATCAATGGGAGGTCTGAGAGAACAAAAACTGTTGAGACTACAAGTAGAAAAGCGACCACTTTCTGGAAGGTAAGAAGTGAGGAGAGTTGACTTGGGAGAGACATAGCTGCAGATACAGCAGTGGAGAGGGGGCCTGCATTTGGAGGCTACTGCAAAGTAGTATAAGCAGCAGAACTTTTTGACGTCTGCTACTGTGAATTATGAGCCTGGCTTAAAAGTGCCCAGGTGGCAGGGCGGAATCCCAAGAGTGACAATGTGGTCTGAAGATCCCCTGGGTCGCAAGAAGAACAGGTGGCACCAGTGTGCCACACTGTTCCCAAGCATAGGAGTCGGCCTTGGGTGCCAGCTCTCTGCTCTGCTTTGACATAAGCTCTGAACTGCTATGCAGTTGTGCAACTGCTTTCTTAAGTGGGGCAGCAAAATCATGGCATGACCCTCCCCCAGGGGAGCAGCACTGGTCCATGTCGCAAGAATCCCTAAAATGTGGAATTTTGAAACTTAGTGTTGCACCTTAGATAAAAAAGCTTGAACACAAGCTGTGGGAACTTGGGGTTCTGATGGAAACTGGGGACACAAGAGGGGTGATTGATTTCTTGCTCTTCTTTGAGTTCCCTGAAGAGTGGGGCGTGCAAACTTTCTTCTTGGGGCTAGAAGGTGGGCACAGCCATGTTCATCCCACCCATCAGTGAAGAATGCCTTCAGGGATCAAGACTGTGCCACCTAGTGGAGGGAAGAGCCACTTAGAGCAAGCCCTGCCCCCTGCA